CAATTTTAGATATTGGTGTGTTACTGGTTTTGACAATTATCTTATAAAAATAACAAATTTTACTTATAGGTGATTTTTGTTGTTTGTAACAAGAACCAAATTACCATTATTTTCACATTAACAACTTCACAATAAAACTGATAATAATATAATTTTGTGAAATTACGGTTCATGGTGCAGCATAAAAAGCCTGCTTAAGTTTGTGCTATAGCTCTTTTGAGTATTGAGTGAACATAGAAAAATTAAAATCAATCCATGAAAACTGTTTAAATCTATCTCATCTCATTAGGTATTATTATATAGATACATTTTATGTTAATTGGTTTCTTTTTGTAGTATGGAAAAATATGATGTGATTTTATACATATCCTAAAAATGTGTTCCTCGCACAAAAAACAGCATTGTAATTTCAATATTTAATACACTCAACACTTAGCTCAGAATTAATACTAGTATATATGTATAATGTTTGTCAATTAATAAAAATCATAGGTACATACTAGTACTGAGCATTATTTTGATCAATCTAGATTACAATAATTTAATCCGTTGATCAGAAATTTTAGATTCAATCCGTTGATATAGATTTTGAAACATATCCGTTGATTGGGACTTCAGAGCCAATTCAGCTTCATTGTTTTTGAGATAATCAGTTATTTTTTCATTCTTTAGTAAAATACATATTTTGTGAGTAATTAAAGAATTATAGTTATATATTAAGGTAAATAAAAAAATAGTTGTTTTCTAAATGCTTAATAATCCAGATTAAACGGATTGTAACTTTTGTTTTAATCCAGGTGGGTAATCATCCAATGTTCAGCACTAGTACTTACAATTATTCTCATTTATAAAAAACAATAATAACTATAATAAATAACATTAAATTCCATGATGAAACTGTTAAAAATGTATATAAAAATACATTTTAATAATATTATTAGAACAGACAAATGTTCGTATCTGATTCTAAGTGGAATGTATTTTATTTAAAAAAAATATTGTAAAATGTCTGAATTTGATTTATCTAAGTGCAAATTAGATCATATTTTCCATAAGAAACCTTCCTCAAAGTACAATTAGAATATTTTTTCTCCTGTAGTGTCTTTGGAYTCAATAAAAAATACATCTTTGTATAATCAATACATACATTTATCGTTATGCTTAAAATCCAAAATGACGTAATATTCATTCATTAATATTTACATTTCAAAAATAACCATTTAGAAATATATGTACAAAATAAGATAATTACGTTTTTTATTTATTAGAATAATTAGAAAATAATATAAAATTATAGTTTTGTACATTCTTAAAAAATTTAGTAAAAAAAAATCTAGACTTCAACATAAGTCAAAAAAAGGTAATAATTTTATATAAATTTTCGGTTTGATTAATTTCGGTATTAATTAATAAATAGATATAAAAACTCATTTGTATCACAAATAATGCATCTACAAATTTACTATTTTCAAGATGTTATTTAAATTTAAACGATTAATACTTATTAATATTGAAACAAATTATGATTATATTTTTTTCATATTACATACTAGATCTTATTCAGGATAGAATATCGATCATTAGAGATCTTACAATCAATAATATTACTACGTCTTTTTTACATTTTTTTTGGTTTTTTTGGGTGTACAATATTTAGCTTCCATTCTTGCAAAAAAATTATCCATTTGTTGTTCACGTTCAGCTGATCGCTTTTTAATAGCCAACATTAAATCATGAGAATTATTTTTTTCCTCATTTTCTACATCTATTTTGCACTGAGCTTCTTCTTTTTTAGCCTAAAATTAAACAAAAACGTCAAAACTAAACATAATTTTGAATATTATAGTTCACTCACTTTTGCTAATCTTTTTCTTTTTTTTGAAGGAGGTTCATTGGTAAATGCTTTAAATCTTGGCAAATCTTCTTCTTCTATGATTTGTTCTAAAATCTCTCGAAGACGATCTTCTTCATATACAGAACTAAATGGAACCATGTTTATAATAAATTCCATATCTCCTTTTCCTGCTAAATATCCTTTTTTAAGGTCTCTTTTTTCATCATCAGAACCTAAAACCAATTCAATGATGTTTAAAATAACATTATATTATACCTAAGTAAAATTTCTAAATAATATTTACCTTTATACTTTAGTTCATAATCTCTGATTTCATTGTCAGTAATCTTTCTAAAAATTGAACTCCAATAGGTTTCCCAAGGAAAATCTTCTGTAGCAGAGTTAGGGTCAATGTCATCACCAACACATCCTACAAAAATAAATCGTTAAATCAGAATAATTTGTATATTAAATTAATCTTATACATATACCTTGTTCCATAAAAGAAGACACAAGATTATGTAGCAAAACCGGTTTTCCTATAGCCACCTGGTGTCTTCTCTTTTGGAACAAGGTCTTTATTTTGTATTAAATAATATTTATTTACAACTGACACTAAGTTTCTTACTGATGGGCAAAAACAATTGGGGTTTTGGTAAGCGTTTGACATACACTAATTTAACGAGAATATTACAAATAATGCCAATTGTTGGATCAGAAATAGAAAAATCAAATAAGGAGGCATCTCATAAAATAAGAAAATTGATGTTATAGAAGGAAAAAGTTCAGGCCATTCATTGTCAGACAATTTAATGGTATAAAGATTGGTAGATACCATTCTAAAAATTTGGAATTATTGAGTTGTTATAACACGTTTAAATATGCTCCAATCATAATTCATGTGAAATGCTCATTTAGAGGTCTTAAAAGTATATAGAAACCCAATAGGAGAAATTTAAAAATTGATAATTTAAATAAATTATAATTATTCAACGCAACACATAATTTGAATTAYACATATAAAGTACTGATTCATAAATTATCATACAGTTAGAAATCCATAATACCTTATCCCATTTTGTTAGAAATCCAAAATACCAGTAATAGGATAATGTTCAGGTAGCATATTCTTATTGTAACTCATAATTTGTAAAAATATTATGAATGAAAAATGTTAAAGTATATGATTACCAGTATTACCACTAACTTATAAATTAGTAGTTTAATAATTAAATAAATTTAAACACTATAACCCTAATAAACTGGAACAAATGCACTTTACCACGCCCCTCATGAATTTCAAATTTTTTTTTTAAATAAGTGTTTTTCAATAATACGCATGCGCTCAATTTTAATTGGACTACGTTCTATATTTATATCAATATTGCTATTATATAACTATCTCATTATTACTAAATTGTTAATTAAATTATCTTTATGATAAAAAAATAAGCTCTATTAAGTTATTTTGCAATTATCAACAAGTAGACAAGCTAATGAGTATATTGTATACCTTGTCAGTTTAAGTAATGTAAGTATATAGTGCTCCCTTCGCCTGCCGGCTCAGCCCCCAAACCCATTGGGACTTAAATAGCTAACCTGGGGGGAGGAGGGCGACTCCTTCGGTGTCGCGGGGGGAGTTAACTGAACCTTGTTAGTTAAAGTAACAAACAAGTGGCTTCGGTCTTCAAACTAAAGGAACCTTCCTTCGTCTGCCGGCTACAGTCATCAAACCTCGAGTTGCTCTTCGCGACAGTAAATTATAGAATGGTACGCATGCGTATAAATGTAAAATCTCAAGCTATGGAGGGCTATAACTTCCATAATAATGGTTTCCGCAAAAAAAATTCAAAAAATTCCTAAATCAGTAAAAAAAACCAGTCTTTAAAAAAAAATTTCTGAAATTCGTGAGGGGCCTGGTAAAGTGCATTTTAGCTTCCTAAACTTACCAGCATCATCGTAAAGCTTTCTCTTATCAGCATCATTTAGCAGTGCATGAATTCGACTGATGATTTTAAATTTTTCAGTAGCTTCAGCTTTTTCGTTTTCATTTACTTTGTCAGGATGGTATTTCATCGACAATACATAATACGCTTTGCGAACTATAAACAACCATAATGATTAATAAATAAAATTAAAATATATATCCATTTACGTAGATTTAAGTGTAAGTTTGTAATAACATGGGAATTACAAGCAAAACATCCAACCTTCTTTGTCTGTAGCATCTTTTTTCGTGTTCAACACCTCGTATAGATTGTCAGTGTTGAAATATTTACGGCAAAGTTCTAATAATGTGGTCATGATGAAATCTTGAATACAATTTAAAAATTATGATCAAATCGATATTGATAACTACTATCGAACGCGTATAATATACCAACTAAAACAATAATATAAGGAGCGAATTAATCGACGTTAAGATATAGATCAAATAATTCGAAATTTTAATTCAAGTCGATTAACGTTAAGACAAAAATAAATTGATCGACGAACTTAATGGTCGGTAGCAGGAAAGTACTGAAAGTAGGATGATGAATGATTATTAGGATAATAAATTTACTATAATAACCAATGGGATATCTGAATAATGACAATCAAATGGATTGAAATGGCGGGTAAAATTGTTAAAGTAACATAATGTGTTTAACAAGCATCTCATGATCTTTTCCATGACGAATAATAACGCGTACCACGGTTAAACGTTGAACCATATAAATTTATTAATTACCCACATAATATAATATTATGTTGTACCCATAGATAACCTTTTACCATAATAATAGAACTATAATTTACTCAATGTCGGAAATCCACCTATGAAATCCATAAATTTTATTTTACGACTTGCTATAAATATGGTATACCAGCAAGTACTTACCAAGTATGTGTTCAGATCATGGAATATATAGGCACATCGCACATTCTATGATTGAATCCTAGATTCACTATCACTGCGCATTTGTACAAGCTGCAGACGCTGACGTCATGTTTTTAACTTCGTCCCCTCATATTATTTACTTCTACCGCCATGATATTTCATTCTCTCCTCCATATTTCCCAAGTACGTCATCATTATATGCGTGCTGTTATCTAAAGACCATGCCTTATATTTAGCCATGGTTAGCACTATACAATGTACAAGTACAATATTCTGAAATATTTTGATAATAAGTATTAAGTAATAACCGTCCGTGATGATGATGCCGATGATGGTTGGTGTCGTTAATTCGTTATGATTTAATTTTTAATATGTTCAGCATGCATTTTGAATTTTGATTAAACGTTGTCCGTGRCTTATGTTAGTTTAAAGGAATTGTCTGTTGTCCAACTCATGTTTTTAACTATTTTCATTATTTGAGTATCTACATATTATCATGAAACTTGCTTGATTTTCATTTTCTTCTTTAGTTTAACTTAAGTTTAAGAGGAACATCAAAATGAGTACACACGTTAAAGGATCATGTGTTGATGTTTTGGTACGAACACCATAATTTAACATAAAAATATAATTTTTATTTTATTATGTCACTATAAATTTTGTTTATAGGATTTTAAGTGTTCAGCATTCTGCAATCTTCGTGTTTTCAATGAAGGACACCAGTTTGACACATCTGCCTCCATGGTCATCAGTTCTAACCGATTTGGGATAACTATTGTTGCTTCTCCCAATCAGCTTTGTAGTACGATATATAATTTATTTAATATCTGAATTAAGTATAAAATTGAATTTTATAATATATTTTTTTGTAAAATGTATATTGATAGTACCTTATAGTTTTTCAAGCTTAATTATTTTGATTTATCTATTTGAATTTTTTAGCTTCAATTAATAGTATATCGTTAGTATTTAAGTATTAATTTTAAATAATATCTGAATGTAGTAAAAGGTTCAATATAACAATTTTCCTTTTAATATATTTAATATAATTTATTTTCTAGTTTAAAAATAATCTAACTTAGATATCAACATTTATTTAATTAAGTCTAATAACTTGTTTAAATATATTAGTATTCATGTTGGTAGAATATTGTTTGAAAGTTAGATTTTATTAGAACTCTAAATTAAAATGTCTTAATTAGGTATTCTTTATGAAATGGAATTTATATATATTTTTAAAGATTGTCTACTTTTGCATTATAATTAAAATTGAATTCGGATAATGTTATTTTATACAGCCATTTATAAATGCTTCAATAGGTGATTTTAACTATAGTAATTATTATTTTTAAGCTATACATTTTTTATTGACCTTAACCTCTTTTTTGTTTTGTTTTATTTTGATGATTGAAGTATCAGCTAAATTGAACTTTTCAATTGTTGAAATATTTTCATTAAGTTTAATATTAATGCTAAGTTAATTTATTTATTGGTTTACTAAAATGTAATAGATCAATCATGTTTAAGGGACTAACTATCGATTCATTAAATGTTTAGTGTTTGTATAAGAAACTCAGCAYTAAAGTTTTTTTCTCGGTTTTTTTACTTAATTAATATTAAAATTAAATATTTATTAAATGTTGTTTAGTGATTTCAATGAAACATGTTCGACATCTAGTTGGTGATTTCGGTGTTGAAAAAAATACATTAACAAATTTTCTAAGGCGTGAAATAGAATTAGATTACTCTCCAAACTTTTTAGACCTTAGCTGTGATGAAGAATATATAGCAGTTGCAGGCATTTTGAATTCAAAAACCTCGATAACTATTTACAATGTTAAGGATTTAATTTCAAAAGTAAAATATAATAATATTTTTTATTATTATCATCATAATCATAATCAACACTTTTTCAGAATTGCATTTCTCCATTAGTAATTGTTGAGCTTGCTACTATACAGGAATCACATGTAATAGATATGTCATGGAATCCAGGTGTTCAAAATTCCTTGGCATGTTGTTTGTCTGATGGATCGTTACATATTATAGATTTGAAAGATGGTGGAAGGTACAATGTTGTTTGTTTACCACCCCAATCAAGTACATTGTATGTCAATTAATTAATAATATTAAATTTATTGTATGTATTTCATAATTAAAATATATTTTTTAGATGTTTAAGTTGGAGCCCTAAAGGAAAACAAATAATAATTGGCAGTTCAAATGGGTCCTTAACACAGTATAAACCTGAACTCAAAGCTATGAAACAGTATTCACCACCAACTGATGTAACGGGGAATGTAAAACCTATCAAAATAAAATGGATATCAAATTTTCAATTTGCAGTTGTCTATGATTTTGTGGACAACACAGATAATCAATTAAGTAAGATTGTGTAATATCTAATTTACAACGGCTTAATCTTTATTTATCTTGCATATAGATCTTTACATTCTCAATACACCAAAAAACGCACCAGTGGAATTTATTAACTTTGAACAATATGTCGTGATGAATTCTGAACAGTATAGATTAAATCAATATTATACAATATTTCAACAAAATTGGTAAATTATACTTGTAAATTTAGTTATATATTTTGAAATTATTTATCAATTTATTTTTTAGGAATCTTCTATTTGTTGCTTCTTCAAATTGTACAGAAATTGGTGTAATGGGAATAAATAAAGAAAACCAATGGCAATGTTGGATGTTAGAAACAAGACCAGAGTTACCATACAGACTTGATAAACAAATGTATCCTCTAGGAATATCATTAGATATTTCTTCTCAAATGCAAATTAAACAATGTAAATATATATTTACTATATTATTTTTGGTGAATCTTATTAAAATAAAAACTGTTACAGTATCTAAATCAAATGAAGAAATATTTCTTGATCCAATGCCAGTATTATGTGTATTATCCAGTGATGGTATATTATTTATGTACCATATTGAAAATCAGTTAACTGATTACAAAAATATATGTAAACCACCAACAGAAATATCGGATAATATAATCACTCAGTTATTTACTACCAACCTTAAAATAGTAAGCATATATTATGATTATTCTAACATTTTAATATACTATATTTTTTTTAAATATATACAGTTTAATTTGTTTTAAACTACAAAAATTTTCAAATTTAGTGATATCTTACTCAATCAATAACTTAAATGTTTTTTCCTTTGCTACCTATTTGGGTATTTAAAATTTTAACATTAAGTTCATTACTATTAAATATCACTTTTTTCTCTTTCTGGGCTATGGTGTAACGAACAAACCTCAATCAATAAAATCAGTGAAATCATTCATATTTTTGAATAATCTTGAGTAAATTTACCCATTAAAAAAATGACTTAGATAAATATTGTTGAGTATTTGATTTATAAATTTGTGTATTTAATATCTCTTAGCATTTATTTATTTATTTAATTTTATACATTTTTTTTTTCAATGAAATAATAATAACACTAAAGGCCGATTCACATTTACGGTATGGTCATGGTCTGTCGATAGGTAAAATATAGATATGTATAATATAAATATAGATATATTTTACCCATCAAAGGATCGTGACCGTWCTGTTAGTGTGAATCGACCATAAGCGATATATTAAAACTTCAAACATTTTATTTTCTATTTTTTGTTAATTAGTGTTTTTTATTACTAGTACTAGACAATTCAAAAATCATAATTAAATGGTTTTTCTTAAAAGCATTTCATCCTGTGAGAAAACAGATGTTGTGTTTACATTCTTAACTTGGTTCAATAAAATGTATGTTATAGTAGTTACTACCAGTGTAAGGCTGGTTTATAAAATTTTTTGCCCATAACTTTTATTTTCATATAAATATTATGAATGTTTTAAAGAGGATTTGCTTAGGGTAGAAGAAAGGCAAACACGGTGATACGATAGATTTTATGATAACTCATATATGAAATTGAATCTCATTGTTTACATTTCAATACAATTAATGACAAAAAACATACTCGTTACAATAATTGTTTTATGAAATTGTATAACATCAAATTTTAAAATCTATAAATCAATCAATTGTATCATGTATATTATAAAAGCTTCTAACCCTGCTTGGCGTGACTTGTTTTCTAAATATTTTTATCACCCCAAAATAAAACAAATGGTTATTTAAATAAGATGTATTGTTAAAAAAAAAAAAAATTTGTGTATTAGCGTATTATATTATAGAATTGTTATAATTTATATGTAACATGTAAGGAATATTATTCAATTGATGGTTGTTTTTGTTATTGCTTGAAATTTTGTAAACTGGACGACAATTAAAATTTTTTAAATTTTAAACAATCTTTAATTTGTATTAAAATTATTTCATGTTCATTGCATGAGTTTTTTTMAGTTTTACCATAAATGGTTTCAAAATTATAAAATGATAAAAAATAAAATATTWATTTATATTTTATCATTGTTATTATTATTAATATATATTTATATTTTTTTATTGTAGAATAATATTGAACAAATTGAAAAAAATGTGGTGGCTGATACAGTAGAAATAATAGAAGTTGTGTAAGTAAATATCAAACTATATTATATTTCAGGTTCATTTTAGATTCTGTGTGGAGTGTTTTTTTTTGTCATCGCGTATGTTATTTTCTATTTACGATATTTTGCTCATTTTAAGTCATTTATATTATGAATTTATTCACACTGTGCTATGGTTTTGGTTTATTGTGATTGTTAAAAGTTTTAAAAATCTATCAAAACCTAATTCATTCAAAAAGTTTTAAAATTCTATTTGAATCCAAATTTAAAAACATAATTAACACTTCAAACGTTACTGAATAGAATTGTTTACATTTTTTTTTTTTTTATGATCTATTTTAATGCTGATACATTTATTATTTTTAAAGTGATGAGTAAATGTTCATTTTAGTTCCATTATTGTTATACAATTTTAATACAATTTAAACCATATTACTATATAAGTATCCGAACAGTGATTATATCATAATTATTATCATATATATTTTTATATATGTAACGTTAATAGGGCATGAGTTAGTCTTGAACTATTATTTATATTACTATTGATTATATTTACTATAGATTGCTCACAGAACAGTTTTTGGTGTAATACAATATTAGTCCTGGTAGATGGCAAGAAAATGTAACTATTAGCGATTTCAACTGTATCTGATCTCTTTAACCACACGCCCGTTATAACTTGAGTAATCTATAGTATTTATAATCAATGGTATTGCTTATGAATAAAAATTACTTTCAGTAACATAAATTGTTTATCCTTAAAGTTAGAGACTGTCATGTCATTTCCACTCATTGGTTTCATAATGCTATAATTTATTAATGAATTCAAATTTATTACATCTAATACTACAGTGTTAAAATCAATTATTTATTCATTAGTTGGYATTAATAGAATAGTACCCTTTTACAATATATAAATATAATATTTATGTTTATATACGTAAACATTGTAACATGTTATTGTATAATTTAATTAACTTAAGTTAAGAATAGGGCTAAAATAAAACTAATGACTAGAACCTAATTAGTTATTGTTGTTATTGAGATAGAACTAGATTGTATTCAATGAATGGCAATAAATGGGTCTCATCTAATTCCACATTAATTAACAACTATGATGTTTTTCATACAGTGATGAAAACGCCAAGGGAGATCATAATGAATCGGTTCTTGCGAGCTATCTAGAAACATCATCTACTTCTCAAGTCGAACAACCACAAATATGTAATATTTTGTTATTATGATTATTGTATGTCTGTATATGTGATTAATGATAGTTATTCATTTTATAAATTAATATTAGTGGATACACCAACAATTACAGTTGTGAAACCAAATGTTCCTGAAGCGTATACTGAAACTGTTCCACAAATTATTTCAAATCAAACAAATCTTCCGGATAAAAATACATCAACAGATGAAACTCTAAGTCAAGTCATGTTAAAAGAAGTATTGGAAGATGTACAAATATTTCAATTACAATTAGAGGATACATTGAAACTATCATTAAATACTAGTAAGCTTAAGGTAAAAAAAATCTCATATCTAATAAAATATTATATTTTTTGAAGTATCTATTTTTTAATAATTTTATTAGATTGGTAATGAAAAAGATAAAGAAATACTTATGAAGAAATGGACATCATTAGACTCGTTTTTCAAAGAATTGAATGAGACTAATCGCTCGCAGTGGGTAGAAAGTAAAGCTCTTCAAAAAGCTGTGTTAGATTCTATTGCTTGGGTCGAGGACTCAAAATCTCGCATATTCTTTTTAAAAAATCCAAAGTAATGAATTTAAAAAAACCTTTGTGCTTTATAAGTTAAATATAATATTATAATTTTTCTGTTAAGATTTAAATGTCTATTGAGAAACGATAGTGATGAACCATTTAGCAAAACACTTTTTGACAATATAGAACGTACATTATACTACGTTGAAACTCAACTAACACATGTTGATGATCAATTGAAAGCTAGATATGATAGTTATAATACAAATAATAAGTAAGTTGTAACTTTTATTAAATTGAATAACTTCAACATCCATGAATATATTATAGTTCAAATAATTTTAGGGAGTTGAAAATACCTTGTCTGGAAACTATTTATAAGTCATTAGTTGTAAATACAAATATAGTGAACAAACTAAAGGAAAAGATAAATTTTCTATATAATACWGTAGAAGAAATGAAATATAGAACTTTTAAAAAATTGTCGTTAGCCCCTGATGTCGTGCTAAATACTTCTAACCTTCATGAGTCTCGGTTAGTAAATGTTAACTTTTATAATTTTCATAATTTAATGAAATATTGTATTTTTATTTTATTAATTTATTTCATAGTGATGTTGGCTTATCAAAACTTTCAGAACAGTTATTAAAAATAACATTAGACAAAGACGGTGTGTCTGCTATTAATTCATATAATGTTGCTAAAAAATACTCTGTATTGTCGGCAAATCAAAGAGCTCTTTCAGACTCCAAAGTTAATAAACTTCAAGACTGGTTGAAAGATTTTAAAACAAGGCGCACAAAAATCACAAGATTTCAATATGCAAATATAGATCTCAGCAGGCCTGTGTGTAGCACGCCATTAAAACCAGTATCAAAACCAAAAATGCATGAAAAAAACATTGATTTTATGCCTTTTGTGACAAGAGATAGTTTTGTTTCTACTTTATCACAACCATCTACATTATTGAGCAAAGACTATATTGCTAACGAACAGAATGTAGCAGATATTAATATACAATCAACATCGCAGCTTGATTTGAAACAATTCCAAAAACCTTTAATAACACCAACCACACAGCAAATAAATGGAGTAATCCCAATAACTACTACTACTTCTGGATTTTCATTGGGATGTAAACCTTTGCTAACAAATACTGTTTGGAATCCAATGGATAATTCATCAACTCCTAAACCAGTTGCACCAAATGATTTCTCAAATAAATTTGATTTCAAGGCTTTTACTAAAGACCCAATTGTTTTTAATTCTGCTAATACTGCTCCGTTGTTTTCTAATAATGTGGCTTGTACTGCCGTTTCTAATAGAGATCCTGTAGATTTTAGTTTAAAATCATTAACAACTACACCCTTAAATTTCAGTAATTCTAGTAATATAATGTCCACTAAGTCTACTTTAGATATTATTTCAGGAACAACAGAAGCAAAAGAAAAAACACCATTTAATTTTTCCAATGTATCTACTACAAAATCAGAAACAACTATACAAAAATCTACTGGTATACTTAATTTTGATTTTGCTGGTTCTATTAAAAATAAAATRGACAATCCGAATGATAAACCATCAAGTTTTGAAACACCAAAACTATCAGAAACTTCAAGTGTTTTTTCTGGATATAGTGCTGAAAATAAATCAAAGAATAAACAAGAAACCGTTCCAATAAAAGATACAACATTAACTACATTTAAGTTTAGTTCAAAATCGGATACATCATCATTTTCAACATTCAGTTTTAACACATCCAAAGATAGTGTTTCAAAAATTACTGAATCAGAAACCAAATGCTCTTTTACTTCTATACCAACTACCACAGTAACAGCGTCTTTTAATTTTTCACACCCACCAAAAACAGTTCCTATAGTAGTTAGTGAACCGGTAGATTCCTCCACAGTATCTTCCAGCATTGGGACTGTTAAAACAGCTMTTGATTTTAGTACAATATCAACAACTGTAGAAACCAGTGTTACTGAAACCACTCCCCAAGTCTCTGAAAGTCCCACTCCAATTATATCTGAACCAATTACTCCAGAAAACGAAGAGTCTCCACAATTTCCAGTTACTACCAGCAGTGCACAAATTTTTGAAATCCCATCAACAAATAATACAATTTTTGGTTCACCTATCAACTCATCAAGTATTACAAGTATTTTTGGGAATTCAACTACTGCAACATGTCAAGCATCAATTTTCACCACTCCTACAAATAAAACTAGTGCCCCTTCAATTTTCAATACTCCTACAATTACAACTAATGCCTCTTCGATTTTTAGTACTTCCACAAGTACATCTGTCCCACCTTCCATTTTTGGTGCTACTACAAGTACAACCAATATCTCTTCAATATTTGGATCACCAAGCAACACAAGTGTAGCACCTTCAATTTTTGGTGCTTCGTCTACTACAACCTCATCATCGTTCTTTGGAACTCCAATCAAAAGTACACCATCTATATTTGGTTCACCATCTACAACTACCGTGTCTTCTATGTTTGGATCAGTTACAACAACAAATACTACAAGTGGTTTTGGATCTTCAGCTCAGACAACAGCGTTTGGTACTCCTGTTACAAAAACTTCTTCTATATTTGGTAATCCAGCTGCTCCTGCTACAACAACTTCTTCAATATTTGGTAATCCAGCTGCTCCTGCTGCAACAAGTTCTTCAATATTTGGTAATCCAGCTGCTCCTGCTACAACAACTTCAATATTTGGTAATCCAGCAGCTCCTGCTACAACTTCTTCAATATTTGGTAATCCAGCTGCTCCTGCTACAACAACTTCTTCAATATTTGGTAATCCAGTTGCTCCTACATCATCTGGTTCAATATTCGGTTCAGCATCCACAAACACATCATCTGTTTTTGGAACTGCAGTTACAACTAGTACAACATCGTCCATTTTTGGGTCTCCTTCGACAACAGCTGCATCTAGTGGATTATTTGGATCAGTAGCTGCTGCAGCTAACCAATCATCATTTGGCCAACCTTCATTAGGATTTAGTTCTCCTGGATCAGCATTTGGCAATATGTCACTTTTTGGCCAGTCAGCATGTAATCCGTCTCAACCAGCAAATAATTTTTCTCCAGCTGCCAATCCATTTGCTGTTAAYAAAGCTCCTTCGAGTACACCATCATTGTTTTCTAACCAAAAATCTGTATTTGGCCAACCAGCTGCAAGGTAAATATAAGTTCCAGGATTTACGTTTATTAAATGTTAATTTGTTTCCTTGAAATCCAGTCCAATCAGTTTCATATTTTATGCTCCTGTTGGCTTTTATACTAAACATAGCTTTAAATTTTATCATGATACCATAATAATCTTGTATGTTATAGTACACCTAATACTGGGTTTGGCATACAAAATTCAGGATTTGGTGCTACCGCCAGTACCGGATTTGGTAGTCCTGCTATGGTTGGTCAATCAAATAATTTAGGTTTTGGATCTCCCCCAATATTTGGTAGTATGGGTATGTATATAATATCAATTTTTCAATATATTTTTTTGTGCTATTCAATTATTATTTCAATTAAATTTTTAGGAACTACTTATGAAAAATCATCTGGTTTTAATCAAACACCTGTGTTTGGAGGAGCTGCAACCTTTGGTTCAACTGCTCCAACATTTGGACAAAACGGTACTATTATTTTAAATGTATAGCTTGCATTTTAGTGTACTMATCAATATKTTGTATCACAGTTTAGTGGCCAAATTTTTGCACACTACTACCTCTATTTATTGAATATTATTTCATGCTATTATTTGACTATTTCATCCCACTTATCTTATAGCCTACTTAGTTATTGTTTTTAGATTCTGAACGAAGTGAGGAATGTATTGATTTTACAGTGATGTACGCATAATCAATTTTTGACAAAATAGATTTTTTTTTTTTTGCTGTAATACAAAAACGAATCATTGTAAATACTTGAGATTTTCATCAAATGTTTATATTAGCATTTACATTTTCAAAATAATTTGACMTTTTAAGTTATTTATAGACAATTGAAATTTTCTAAAAATATATTATAATTTAATGTAGCATATCCTAAACTGACAAATCATCTCCTTTCAGAATCGTTTTTCGTATACAATGAAATCTGTTATTGCATTCAAATTTTACACATCCATTATAGTGACCTACTCTCCATCTATTTCTATGTATCAGAGTGATAACCACTTGCCTACTAACTACTAGATAAAAATTTCAATTTGATATGAAATCAATAATTTATGTTATCTTTGTAAACAATAAGACCTTTTTTTTTAAATATTACTTTTCAAGATAATTATATTATTAATGAGAAAAATTAGTGATTATTGTGTTAAAAGAACCATATTGTTTAAGTATAATATAAATCGAGTGATTATTCACTTGGAAAAATCAAATTAATCATAATAATAATATGGCAAGATATTATTAAAATCAGTAGTCTAAACAGTATTCTTAAAACTATATCATATACTAAATCATCCCTATTAAAGGTTTTCTATCGGAGCTACAAAAAATGTTAA